GTTTGGAGCACCCTGCTCTAGTGGAAGGTGTCCCTGCCCGTGGCAGGGGGCTTCTAACAAAGTCTTTAGGTAGAAGTGGTGGAATCAACATCCCTGGAGGCATTTAAGAGAGACGTGGATGTGGCACTGAGAGACGTGGTTTAGTGGTTAGCACATTGGCAGTGCTGGGTTAATGGCTGGACTCAATCTTAAGGGCCTTTTCCGATCTAAACGATGCTATGATGCTATGATTCTAACCCAAGCCATTCTGTGCTCCATGCCCATCGCCTCCGCCTTGCGGGCAGACAGTGCCACTCAAAAGGCGCTTTGTGCATTGTGTTTGTGGCCGGGGCCGAGCTGCGGTGCCGAGCAGCGCGCTCCCCCCTGTCAGTGCTCCACCAGCCCCCCAGCTTAGGGCTCTGGAGTTGCTGGACACATGGGCTGCTGCCTGGAGACCCCTTGGCACCAGGACCTGTCCCTGGGATGCACAGGTAAGCTGTTCATGGGAATGCCACGGCGGGACTGTGAGACCTGTGGCTGCAAAGCTCATGCCACTGATGGGGCCACTGTGGAACTGAGCACTGGATCCCTTTGCCTGCTTGCCTGCCTTTCCCGAGATGGCCACTGGTGTCCCCTCCTCTTGCTGGGCACGTGTGTCACTAGATTGGGGTGTGTGGGGAATGAGGCAGGGCATTTTGGCGAGGGAAGGGAGAGGATGACTCAGGGGGTTGTTTATTCCCATGCTGTTGGCTTTTCAGGACCCCCCCTTGCTGTCCTTATCCTGCTGCCACTGCTGCCCAGGAGCACCCAAACATTTCAAGGCTTGCAGAGCCCATGGGGTGCTGCCAGCCCCCGCGGTGTGATTCCCATGCTGGAAGTGCCCAAATGATCTAACGGGGCTGTGCTAATGGGCTGCAGGAGGGAGGTGGCTCAGGGCCAGCAGCTGCGGCCACGTGTCCCCATGAGAGCTGGTGCCAGCGGGTGCCACAAGCGCCGCAGCCCCGAGCCCTGGCTCTAGGCTGGGACTGTTTCCTGCCCCCCATTACAAAACATTTCAGCACCAGGGAGGTAAATGAGTCACTGGCACGACTGGGGACAACTTCCCGCCAGCAGTTTCAATTGGACTCTTGAAACAGCTCCCAGTTCCCTTTCTGAGCCTGGCCCAAACAGAAATAAACAACAAATCGGCAAGTGCCGTGGGAGGAAACCCATTTCTCCTCTCACCCAAGCAAGCCCTGGCCCCTGCCTGGCTCTGCGGAGACCCACCAGCATGCATCATTATGCCGCGGGCAGAGGTGGCATGAACAGTGTCCAACCTGCCTCCTCCTTCAGCACATCATATGGAGACCTCTTGGGCAGGGAGCATCCTGCCGGGGATCCAAACGCCTCTCCTCACCTTCCGTCTTCCCCAGGCGAAGAGTGTGACTCCTGCTGCCCCCACTCGCCCGTGCTCCTGCCCCACTGGGACCTCCTGCAGCACCAGGGAAAATGGTGGTGGGACAAGACCATGGAATCAGGTACCTGTCCTTGGGGAAGGGGGACCCAACTCCTGCCCACCAGGGTCTGTCGGGATGCAGGGAGGAGAGGCAGGGATGGAGCAGTCCCATCCAGCCCAGCTCTAGAAGCCAGCTCACATTAGCTCTGCCTCTGGCTCATTTCAATTACCCATCTCCATTTCCCCTATGTGTAGAAGGGATGTGAGTTGCTGGATGAAGTCCTTTGTTAAGTGTGCTCAAATCAACTGTTGAGAAATGTAGAGCCTTTTCTTTCAAAGAAAAGCTCATTCATTGCAGGTCCAGCCTTGGGCCATTCTTTTCTACTGCTAACTATAAACAAGGATTATAATTCTGTGTGCAAATAACAGTTTATTTGACTGATTAGCAAAGCTGGCTCATTAAAAACAATGATAGAGTATAGTTATGGTCACAGAAGTGACTTACAAAAGCCGCTGCACGTTCCAGCTCCAGATCTCCAGGTACATGTTTATCTTACAAGTCCAATCTGATTACTGACAGAAATTGGTTTTTAATCTTGTTACCCCTCCACAGCCAATACAGCTGTGGAAGAGCAAGCTGGATTTTTATGTGCCTCAGCCTTCATTAGCATAATTACCAGCTGAAGTTTCAGTTCCTAAATCCTTTATGGCAATAGCTGACGATGTGTGAAGCAGAAAGAATGCAGCTTGGGTTTCAGACATCGACCAGAGTAGGCAGGGGGGCAAAATCTCATTTTGACTGTCAAATTGATGAGCAAACTCTCCTGTGCTGGGAAATTGCTCTTGCTCTGAGGTCTCCTTCAAAATACTCTGTGTCAGAGGGCCATCCTTCTACCAGATCTGCTCAGTGAGAGTCTGTCCCAAGAGCAAGGAAAGGAAGTTCTCTCACTTCAGAGCTACTCCAGCACGGGAGAGAAGCCAGTCATCACGCGTATCATGTAGTTAGGACGCATCAGTCCCATGGATCTTGCCTCCAACCTTGAGCATGATTTTAGGGTGAGACCAGATTCAGATGATCCCCAGCCAGATCTGCATTGCAACCCATGGGCTTTGCTTTCAGGTGGCATGGTTAGGCAGAATGTCCTAGACCTCTACCACAAAATTTGACAGCAGCTTTTCTGTGTCCCCTGTCCTTGTTAGGTAAGGCTGAGGCATCAGAGCCAAGAAACCCTGGTACTGAGGCAGCAGAAGGTTCTCCGGACACCTCCTTGGTGCTGCTGGCTGTCAGGGAGGGCTTTCCACCAGGTAAGATGCTGCCTTTGGCATCACCCATATTTCTATGGGTGAATGCAGCAAGGCCTGGCACTGCAGTTAACCAACCCCCTGTCAGCCCTTGTGTTCCTCAGCTTTGCTGCTGAAGGGGGTGAGTGGCCTGGTTTGTGTTGTTTGAACATCACAACCAGGCTGGAGGCACTGGTGGGGCTGGCTGCAGGGAGTCAGCTCTGTGTGGATGGAGCTCCTTCTCCCCTTTATCCCTGCATGTTTTCCTTTCAAGAGATTTCGCTCTTCTTCTCCATTGAGAGCCGCTCCTCCCGCTGCCTCAATTCCCAGCTCCAGGAAGCAGCCAGGAAGAAGCTGTGGGCCCTAGAGAGTGACAACAGAGATGTCTGTGCCCTGTTCAAGGTAAGAGCCCCAGTCTGGCAGGGCAGAGGACGTACTGGGAGGCTCCTGGCATGATGGGATGTGTGATGATGGGATACCAAACCCAGCTGAGAAAGAGAAGTTCCTCCAAGGCTGCTGCAGGGTATGTTCCTGCACATGGGGACTCTGTAAGGGAGCGGAACGATGGGGGAAATGAACTGATAACAGGTGAGAGGCAGATGCAAGGCTGAACCTCATGTCAGGAGCCTCATACTGGAAGCTCTGAGCTGCCTGGAGCTGCTGGCTACAGCACCATCCCCTTAACCCCAGGCAACTAACTCACACAGCTTCAGTCTCAACTATACTAATAAATGAGTGCCTAGTCTCATTCCAGGGGGTATTATTCCCGCACTGACAGATTCCCAGATCCATCCCTTAATCTTCTTTTGTCTTCCATGTGCAGGAGCTGTCAGCCAGGCTGGTCTGTATGCAAGCACAGGAGGATCGGTTTGTCCTCACCTTCAAAACCCTAGAAGAAGTCTGGAAGTTTTCCACATATCTGACTTTAGGTAATGTTTCCAAGGTGTGGGAGATCTAAACAGTTGGTGTGAGAAGGACTTTTGGAGAAGATATTCTTTGTCAGCAAAAAAGCCAGTAATGTCACAGGGTGGACAGATGAAGAATATTAATTAGAAGGCCTTGGTGTCTTCTACAGATACATGAATTCACTGTCTGGAACAGTGAGCGAGACACAGGAGGATGACTTTTGGGTAAACCCTCCAGTGCATTTTGGGGATGGAGACAGAATTAGAGGCTGTTGCGCCACAGCTTGGTTGCAGATGGCAAACTAGGAGACATCCAAAGAGCACTTCATTCTGCCCCATGGAGGAGAATGCTAACACTGCTTTCCCTCTTGGTTTCATAGGTTATGTGGGCAGCTGCTTGGAACAGCTTCTCTTTGACCAGGAGTACTGGCTAAACTGTGCTCTGATGGAGGACACAGAGATCAGAGTTACTGTGGATGAAGATCGCTTGGCCACCATATATATGGGCCTGCTACTCCAGGAAGGTGAGAGGGACTGCATACGTAGGGAATTCCACAAAGGCATCTCAGCAGGGCTGTGTTGTCACCCTGTGCTGGGCTGTGTCTTGCACTCATGCCATTGACCTGGGCACGACTCTTTCTATCTGCAGGTAATTTTTTTTCCAGAGCAACTCCCGGTGCCTGGCAGCCGGAGCAGGAGGGAGAGGAAGGACTGCAGCTCTGCAAGAATGATCTGATCCATGTGAAGAAGGTTGGAGAGGAGTCCAGGTGGGAAGGGATGTCCTTACTGACGGGTCAGCGAGGCCTGGTGCCTGTGACAGCTCTAGAGCCAATACGTCACCCATTTTACCAGTAAGTAGACTGGACAATTAAAAGAGCTCAAGCCAAGATTCTTCCTTGATTCTGATGCATGAGCTGGCACCAAGCCTGGAGTGAGAAGTTGCTCTTGCCTCTAGCAGTGGGCAAGAGCTGCACAGTTCTGTGAGGTTATACATTATACATAAGACAACCACTGGAACCAATTCAGGTCCTGTTAAAGGGACAGAGCAAGGGCATACTTCAGGTATCATTCTTGTATGGTATTGATTTAGGTCATACATAAGATTATTTAGATTTACACGTGAATGACTGAGAGAAAAGGCGTAGCCCAGTCAAAGTGGGGCCTCATGTTGGACACCTGGATGAACCTCAAAGACACCCGCAGCTCCTCTTGTCCTGCTCTTACCATGGGGTGTAAGGCTGCAGCTGTGAGGTGCAAGCTGCCTTCCATACCCAGTAACACCATTACAAGGAATTACTAGACTGGCCGTGCTGGCCATGCTCCATAGCAGCTCTGTCACTCCCAGGGGACAGAACATCTGTCCTGCTTCCATGAGACCATCCCTGGTGCTGGCCTGAGGACAGGGCTGCTCAGAGAGGACCAGTGTGGTTCCCTTTCACTTTGCAGGTGGTTCCTGAAGAATTATGCTGTGAGTTTTGGCATCTCCCAGGAGATCAATGGGACAACCACTCAGCCAATTGGTGAGTGATACCCGTGTAGTGCAGCTGCCCTCCCCAGGGAAGGGCACAGCTCTTGCAAATCTGGGTTTGGCCACAAGTACAAATGGCCCATCTCTTGATCTGACAATGACACTCCATTGCAAGGTGCTTTAAGGGAATATGACATCTTTGGCCTCTCTTGAATGAAGAACAGAGCTTGCAAATTGCATGTACTTAGAAGGATGATCGGTATCCTTCTGCCACTGGGTTTTTGTGTTCTATTGCAATTTTATCACTCCTTTAATTCTTTCAGGACTGAAGTTTTTTAGTCTCCCACCAGTGTGCATGTGAAACTTGTGCCCACCATTCACCAGGCCATTTCCGCCTGGACACGGGTGCTGTTCAGTGTATGTTGGACTTGAGAAGTCACTGCAGGTGTGAATTTGGCATGAAGTGTGATGGACATTTGCACTGTCAAAGATCTCACTCCTGTCAGAGAGCTGAGACATTGCAGCTTCTGTGAAGCTTCATGTTTCCAGCCACCTTCCAAACTGCTCTGAGAGGTTTCAGTCTTTGGCTGTGTTGCATTTGTCCATGTCTTTTGTGTATTTTATTATAATCCTCTTCTCAAGAAAAGATGTGACTCTGAGAGCACAATGAATCTTAGGGGACAGGGAGGTAGCCTTCTCAAGCTGAAATCATAGTGTCTTCTTGCCCAAGTTCTCTCCAGCGAGGAGGGTTTTAACAGTAGCCTCACACTGAAATACCATTGTTTGCCTTGGTTTCCCAGTCAAAGGCAGGTGCACAGCCACAAAGGACCACAGAGGAGCAGCGTGGGATGAACTGAGTTTTTCCAAAGGAGACATCGTAGAAGTCATCGGCTTCTTCATTCCAGGACTCCCATGGTTTGTGGGCAAATCCCTCAGTAGTGGGAGCATTGGATTTGTCCCAACTCGATACATAAGTCCCGAGGCTTGCGAACCTCTGTAAGTTTACTGCTACCATGTCAATTAAATTAAACTCAGGAGAAAATGAAGGGAAGGCTCCAAGTCCCAACTCAAGGCTATGTGAGAGTCCAGGGCAGGTGATTTGCTTTGCAAGGCTTTCATAGAGAATCCATTTGAAGTCTGTGCAGAAGCCTTGGCAAGGCTGTGCTGTCAACAGGCTGCAGGAGGCTCTGCCCAGACAAAGCAATCGTATGTCACTTGCCTCAGCTGATTTTTGGAGAGGAACAGATCTGGCCCTGGGCTAAGCCTGGCTTCATGCTAAGGCAGCCCAGGACATCTGTGTACCAGGCAAACCAGCTTCACAGTTCCACTTAGAAATGTTCTTGACTTTGTGGCTTTGTCCGAGGAGCTGTGAGTGTGACAAGAGTGGGAGAGCGATCACTGCCAAGGAAACAAGTCCTGCTCTGCTTCCTCCTGCCCCTTTGCTTTCTGTGGGAGGTGGAGGCAGAACAGCCACTGGCACGGTTCATCACTGAGCAGAATTAAACGCTCCCAAGGCCCTCCCAAGGTCACAGACACAAGTTGTCCAGGGAGGGAGGGTGGATGACACAACCCCACTCTGATGACCTGGGCAGTTGTCTTTGTTGGTGGCTTAAAGACAAGGTCAGGTTCAGTACCCATCCAAAGAGGCTTCTCCTCCAAGAATGTGTGTGGGAGGGTGAGGTCCTAACCTGTTGCCAGGTCTGCTGGGCTTTCCTGGATCAGGCTTATTCAGGGTAAGTCTTAGGCATTTTTCTCTGACACTACAGAGAGATCAGATGATGCCCTGACCTCAGAGAGGGCTTCTGGAGACAATAAAGATCAATAGGTCCTTCCCTCTGGTACCCATTAGTTCCTGCATGGAGAAGCTGGATCTAAGATCTGATGGGGAAGGTGTCCAGATTGTATCCATCTGCAGCAGACCTTTTCTGGTGGGAGGAAGAGGAGGGGTGGGAAGGCTCAGCCCAGCGCACAGGACAGCTGTAGTGTCAGGAGGTGGGGAGGCACTGACTGTTTTCTCCTGATGTCTGCCTCAACCTAGGGGAAAGGGCTTGGTGTTTCTGAGTGAGGAAGAAAAGTCCCCACTCCTGCGCATACCCTCCAATGGTGGTGAGCAGCACTTCACCACCCTCCTCAGTGACCTGGCATGCACGGACATCACCTCTGTGTACCGGCTGGGTGAGTCCCCCCTCTCCTTACATGTCCAGCCTGCAGTGAGCAGTGCTGGGAGTGTCTAGAAAGCTCTTTGCTTTTTGTTTTCTGTTTGTCTCTTTGTGTAGATGGTTTTGAACCTACAGCCATGTTCCCAAAAGTGCCGTCAGGTGAGTACGTGGAAGGGACATAATGAGATGCTTTTATGATGACTTCTGAGGGTGAATTTTGACATGGGGAAATATCCCACTATGGTTTGCCTGTCTCTTCCAGAGGCAGTTCTTCGTGGCTGTAAAGACATCCAGCTGCTGCAGTCCTGGGAGGAAATAAATGAGTTGGCGACCACTAGCACCTCTGAGCTGTCTAGCCCAGCGAGTGAATCAGCCCCTCATACATTGGAAGATGTTCTCCTGGAGAAGCTGGATGATTTTGATGATCCCAAGTTCTTCATTGACTTGAATGCTGGACACATGGAAGATGCTGATGTCTTTGACCCCATATTGACCTTCCTTAACCAAGACAGTTACATGCCCAGTTTTCAAAGCCTCTATGATCTCAGTTTTTCCTTTCTCAACTCCACTTTTTATGGTTTCTCTGATGAGGATGAACTGATCTTGTACCTTGAAACATCCAGGAACTGGGCCAAGAGGACTCATTCAGTTTGGGCTCATGTCAGGCTCTGTTTCCTCTTGGGTAAGCTGTGCATCAAAAAGGTCAAGTTTTCCCAGGCTCGCGTCTACTTTGAGGAAGCCATGAGCATTCTGGACAGGGGTTTTGGGGACCTGCCCCTGTTGGCTGCATTGCATGTGAACCTTGCCTCCATCTACTTGAAGCAGAACATGAAACACAAGTTCTCCTCCCTGATGGGAAAAATGGTGGCTCTGCTCGTCTGCCTGCCTGGCCGCTCTTTCAGCTCTGAGAACGAGCTGGAGGTCATGATGTACGTCCTGAGGGAAGCCATTGCTGTGGGTAATGCTCCCTTAGAGGCACGGATCTGCTTCCTTATCGTCAAGCTCTTCCTGCAGCTGGGAAAAAATGAAGAAGTGCTGCCCTTTACTGAGCATCTTCAGTGTCTCACCACCACTTTACTCAGCCTGGACACTAGTTCTATGGCACTAGATGCCACCCCCATCTTGAGCTACCTGTATGACAAGAAGTATTTGCCAAGTATCGCACTGGCCTCTGCCAGGTTGTTTGTTCCCACTGGCATCAAGGGGACACCAACACCCACTTGGAGAGCTGGCTTTATCCTCCAAAATACTTCCAAACTCCTGGGAAGCCAACTGGAGAGGAGCAGCATCCCAGCACTGGCCTGTTTCTATCTCAAGCAAGCACTGCATTTCTCCAGTGAGAGCAGAGCTGTGCCCATCCAGAGGACACTCTGTACCATCTTATCCAGGATGTACCTCCAGCATGGAGTGTTGGATGGGGCGGTTTGCTATGCAGCCATGGCTGTAACCCTCAGCAGGCTGATGGGTGAGGAGGAGGCTTTTGAGTCTTCCCTGTCTTTGGGGTGGATGTATGTCCTGCACAGCCAGCCGGGCCCCGCTGCAGACATCATGTGGCAGCTCTTGCGCTCTCTGCATGGGACAGACAGCGTGACTCAAGGTGGAGCGGTGCACAATCTCCTGGCCATTGCCCTCAAAGGAGAAGGGCAGGTACAAAAGGCTGCAGAGAACTATCTCCGGGCCCTTCACAAAGCCAAGGAGACCGGGAACAAGAGGAACCAGGCTATCGCCCTGGCTAACCTGGGGCAGCTGAGCCTCTCGCGCGGGGCGAGCCAGCTCTCTGAGCTCTACCTCCTCCAGTCGTCTCAGCTCTACGCTGAGCTCCAGGGCAGTGAAGACCTGGAGATGGAGTTGGTGCGGGTGCTGCTGTGGCTAGCACAGGCTATGGTGAACAGGCAGAGGATGGAGGATGGCAAACTCTGTTATGAACTGGCGTTGGTTTTTGCCCTGAAGTGGCATAACGTGAGGAGTGAGTACAGCTGTGCTGGCGGGAACCAAGGCAGCGTTCAGCTCTGTGTACAGCACTGTAATGCAGTCCCTTGACCTGTCCTTTTCCCTTCCCTGTACCATGCAGGTCAGCTTCACATCACTGAGTCTCTCTGCCATTTCTACAGCAAAGTGTCCCCCAATCTCCAGGCCTGCATCACCTACCACGAGCACTGGGTATCTTTGGCACAGCAGTTGCAGGACAGAGAGCTGGAAGGCAACGTATGGCAGACCCTCAGCCAGCTCTACCAAGCTTTGGACACATCTGAGTAAGTCCTGTCTGTGGCTGCTAGATGCTGCTAGAGTGGGGTCCATGCTCACCCAAAGCAGGAGCAGTGCCTGTTAGCTGGGACAGAACTGGGTTCTGGCCAAACACAGTTTTTTCAGAGAGACACCCAGCCTTGATCAGAGGGCACCCAGCCACAGGGAATTCATCACTTCCTCTGGAGGCTTATTCCAGTGATTAACCACCATTCACCAGTAAAAATAGGTTCCTTATCTGTTATTTGAATAAGTCTGGCTTCAGCCTCCAGCCTCTGAGTCTGTCTTTCATATCTCTGCTGAAATATTTTCCCCAGGGATGTACTTAAGACCCCATATCAATTCACCTTTCAATCTCCTGCTTGACACATGCAGGTGACTGATTAGATTAGGTGGGAGGGGAGAGAAAGACACTTGGACAGACCACAGATTTTCTTTGGTCTTTGAAGGCAAATGTGTTGAATAGTGGAGGGCTAACTCCCATGTTCCAGAAGGACAAATGAGCAGGGGCTGTCGTTAACTTGGATGCTAACCTTGCCTTGCTAGGTCACAGTGAGTTCAGAGGGAAGGTATTTAGGAAGCAGAAGCCTGTCATGTGAACAGTGCTATTTAAGATCATAAAGCGCCCCATTCCCTGGGCTCCAAGGACAGCTGGAGCCCAGTTGCCAACAGGCGAGACACCAAGCAAACAAATATGCCCTGGGCACTGCCCAGTGCTGCTCCCTCAGCCACAGCTGCCTTCTGCAGGCAGCGTGTCCAACCCGCTGGCTCATCCTGCTGCTGGTCCCTTTGTCCTCCAGTGACCAGGGGCTTCAAAAGAGGCTCTAAGGTCTTGCAGATGTAGCCACAGATGTGCCTCTTTGGCTGCACCAAGGGACAGACACTGGGCAGAGATGTGGGTTTGGGTGCTAGGTGTTGTACGGAAAACAAAGGTGCAAGCGCTTCCTGCCTTGTAGCTGGGGGTGACTTTGGGGTTTAGTGTAGGGGCAAATAGGGTTTGCAGATGACCTGGGCAAAACCTTCTTTATTAGCAAGGGGTGGGGAGCAGCCCCTTTGGGAGCTACCTTGGGGCTGTGCTGAGCACTGGGATCCTGGGCTGGTCTAAGGTTGCCAAATGATAACACACACATGCACTAAGGCATGGAGACTTCCATGGTTTTACCTTGCTCAGAGCTGTCCGTTTGTCTCTATGCTTTGGCAGCTATAGAAGACAGGATTGCCAATGGGGAGGTGGTGTAGCTTTGTGGCTCATTGCTGGGAGTGTCCTCTGGTTTCTCTGTAATGGCTTTTTGCCTATCACTATCACAGGGCTTTGAGACAGTCCATGGACTGCACTAAACAGAGTCTAAGGATCTTCATTGACCTTGAGGAGACTGTGAAAGCAGCAGAGGCCTGGCTGCAGGCGGGAAGGCTCTACTACCTTATGCAAGAAGATGAGCTGGTGGAAATGTACTTTCAGGTATGGAGGAGGTGGCTGAAGCATCCTATACCCACCTTGATCAGCTACATTCCCATCAGAGCTCCTTAGTAGGAACTTTTTGCAGCGGGAAGACCAGGAAAAGAAAGTTCTTAAGAGCAGTGTAAACCTGCTGCTGGAAGGAGGAGCTGTTGCCTTACACTCATGCACTATCTGGCACTAAATTTCCTATCTTTCCTTCATACACTGGGTTTAGAGGATTTCTGGGTGAAAGTAAGTGAGTTTATTGAGTGAGAAAATGATGTAGGAGTGCCAAAGGAAGCTGGAGGTGCTAGATGACCAGCTCCCATTGAAAAACACACAGATAAGGAGTGAGATGCCAGGGAAATGCTTGGAGACTTCTTGGAGTAGAAGAGTGCTGGCTTCTTTCCATCTCTAGCATTATTTTATCAGCTGAGCTGCAAAGTGGAATAGCATCTCATAAAATCTCAGGGCTCCTTCATTCAGGGAGCAGCTTCTATTAAAAGATGGGAAATCCTTTCACATGTTCAGAACAAGCAGAGCAGAAAAGTGGTTGCATCTGCTGGGGTGCACTGAGCTGGGGTATCCTCAAAGAACCAGCCTGGACACACAGAGGAGATGTTTTGGGTCCTCCAGATACCCATATATGCCTGCTGCCCAACCTGTCTCCATGCTGTGTGGAGCACTGGGGCTCATGTTTATGATGGATTGGTTTTATTTAATCACACAAATGTCTATGTGCAAATATCTCTTTCCAAGACTCACTCCAGTTCATTTTCCTTCTAGGCAGCCATTCAGACTGCTCTGAAAGGGGAGAACATCTCCTTGGCCATGGATCTTTATGAAAAAGCAGGTGACACCTTTTTTAATGGCAGCCGAAACAGAGATCGGGCAGTGGAGTTTTACAGGGTACTGACCCCTCCCAGCATTTCTGTCCTTGTGTCCACGCAAGGTGATGGCCATGGGGAGCTTTGGCCCTGGGCTGGCTGCAGCACTGTGTGACCAGGCTGGAGGGGTGGAGGGTGGAGAGGGATGGGATGGTTCTGAGTGTGCCAGAGTGCAAACTGCTGCAGGGGGGAAGTCTGGAGCACAGATGTATTTTGCAGTGGCTGCAGCTCTCCCTAGGGATCATTCGGGAGGTGGGAACAGGGTCCTTACATTACAAATCCTGGCAGTGTTAGGTGTGAGCTGGTTGATCCTGCGGACATGCTCAGGGTCGGAATATCAGGCATGTAAGGAAGGGCAGAGACGTGAGGCTCAGGTTTTGAGAACCATGCTCTGGAATATGAAAATCACTTTCGAGGGATAGAGGGAGCTAGAACCTGAACCTGCATCACTCAACCCCTCCATCATCTACCTGCTATGTCAAGCACTTGTTCCATGTCCTGCTGCTCTATCACCCCTCTGTGCGCAGCACTGTACATATAACCCCAAGAACAACCTGGACTCACTGTCCTCTCTCCTCAGGGAGGTGCTGTGCCCTTGGCCAGAAAACTAAAGGCCTCTAAGACAGAGCTGCGGCTGTTCAATAAGCTGACAGAGCTGCAGATCAGGCTGCAGGGCTACGAGAAGGCACTGGAGTTTGCCACGCTGGCAGCCAGGCTGAGCATCAGGGTCGGTGAGTGACATACACGCACAGTTCTGGCTCCTGCAGGCAGGGTTATCCTTCTGGATGGGAACACTGTGCATGTAAAAGAGGGATCTCCTGCTCTCAGGAGACTGATGGGCCTATTCTTATCCTAAGTGGTAACATCGTTTTAAGGCTGCTTCCCTTTTTAAGCTGCATGACAGCCACATGGGAGTGCTTTGCCACGGTGGTGGTGGGACTCTCTGAGTGGAGGGTGGTTGCTACACCGGAGCACAGGAAGTCTGGTGAAGGCACAGGACTGAACAGTTCCTCTCTGCCCTGGCTCTTCTGGTAAACTCATCCCTTCCCATTACAGAAATAGTTCGAATGGGCAAAATGCCAGCATAAATGTCTGAGATGGAACCAGTCTTGTAATAGCCCCTTTCCAGCACCCAAGAAATCTCCTGGTTGAATGATTTACTCTCTGGGCAATCTGTCCAGCCTTGGTATCAGCAGCCCTGCCCATGGCTCTGTTTTCTCTGAACAAGCTACTAACCCAGTGTCTCCTTAGGAAGACATCCATGTCCCCAGGCTGTTGAGCAAATGCATCCCCAGGCATCTCAGCATGGGATGGGTAGTGAGCTGTTGCAGGGTGACTGTATCAGCAACTCTTTTCCAGGAGATCAATTACAAGAGCTGGTTGCATTCCACCGCCTGGCTACAGTCTACTATTTTCTGCATATGTATGAGATGGCAGAAGATTGCTACCTGAAGACCCTTGCCTTGCGTCCCCCCTTGCTGCAGTGCTCTGGAGAGGCCCTGTACTACTGCAAGGTGTATTGCCACCTTGGCAACCTCACCCTGCACAAACTGAAGGTAGGAAACCTTTCCATGATGCTGTGTCGAGCACTCTGGTCTTGACACAGAGCTGGAGGTGGAGTATCACATCTGCTGGCACAGCAGCCACACATGTGGGCAGCTGAATCCTGTGACTCTCCATCCTATCCGCAGCTTTACAATGAATGCACACAATGCTGGCACAGCCAGCTTTTGAAGGGGGAAAAACAATTTGGAAAGAGGTGCTGGCGCTTAGCTGTGACTGTATGGAGCCCATTTCAATGAAGTCAGGTGTCACTGGGTTCTGCCTGGAACCACTGGGCGCTGCTCCAGCTCCCTTATTCCCTGTGACCCTCAATTAAACCACTTCCTAATGCCTGCCCTGTCCTTTACCATTAGGATGAACAGGATGCAGCAGCCTACTTCCTCCTGGCCCTTGCCGCTGCGACCGAGCTGGGAGACCAGGAGCTGCAGGGCCTCATCCGTGCCAAGCTGAGTGACATCCCCGGCGCCCTGCAGGGACCGGAGGGCACAGTGGGCTGTGCCACATTCCGACCCAGGTGGCTGAGTGAAGGTGGCCATGTTGTCTGACTGACCACAGCCCGGGGACTCCAGTGCAAGCCATCGCACAGCATCGTGCTGTGCCACTGGCATGGGTCTGTGTGCTCTGCAGAACAATCGGCCCTGGAGAGCACCACATCCTAAGGAGCTGCAGCTTTTGGTCTTCTTGTCCCTGTTGGGAAAGGGATGAAGCACTTGGGACCCTGCCCGCATTTTTCAGGAGCAGGGAAGTACATCGAGGCTGGGCAGCTGGGCAGGATGGGGACCCAGCAGCAGTGGTGCTGTGCAGTGGTGCTGAGCAACAGATGGCATTTGGAGTGTGGATGCCCTGCCTGGGATGGGGATAGAGAGTGCTGCCAGCTGCCAGCTGCCCCACACACCTCAGGTCCCATGGGGCAGCTCAGCCCAACCCAGATGTGTTTTAACTTGAATAGCAACTCCTTTATTTATTCCCACTTGTTCTCTGTCCTGTCTGCTCTGCGCAGGTCTGTGACCCATACCTCTTTGGTACAAAGCACCCCCAAAGCTTGTGGCAGTGAGAGGCAGAGTTAGGGAAAGGAGAAGTGAAAGAGGCTGTGGATGAGCCCTGAATGCAGGTGGGCAGCAGCTCGGGGGCAGGCAGAGCTCACCCTTACCCCAGCCCTGCCATTCAGCTCAGCAATGACACTGGAGCAGCTGGGGTGGCCTCGTCGTCCCCACAGCCCATGTGTGCTTTCAGTATCTAAAGCATGAGCACTCTATGGGTCCTGCACAGGAAAAGAGCACTGGACCAGGCTGCCCAGGGAAGTGGTGCAGTCACCGTCCCTGGAGGTATTTAACAGACGTGTAGATGTGGCTCTTGGGGACGTGGTTTACTGGTGGACTTCGCAGTGCTGGGTTAGCAGTTGGACTTGATGATGTTGTGTGGCACACATCCAGCCCCTGGGCAGTGGCGCTGATGGGGCACAAGGGGACTTCTGTCCATGAGAGGCAGCTGCAGAGCCTTTGCATGGGCCATTGCCAGCTCCAGGAGAAGCAGCATCCCATGGACAGCAACTGCCTTCATGTGCCCTGACCTACATGGGTGGAGAGAAGCAAAAACTCCTCTGCGGAGCAAGCAGGAGGAGCGGGAGGCACCAAGGAGCCTTCTGATAGCAGCAGGAGCAGCAGCAGCTCTCCTCCACAGCCCATCTCACCACCAGAGAGCAATAACTGCCCACGTTTGCAGCCTCGTGTGGGCAAGTGCTGCTTCCTGGCTAATGCTGACTTCAGTGTTCAGTCTTGACTGGTGCAGAGTGAAGACTGAGCAGTTTTTCCAGCTCAACTCTTTGCTTTCACAACCAGTGGCCCAGTGGGGGCTTCACAAGGAGACCCTATTCCAAGTCCTTCCACCTTCCTGCCGTGGTTCCCTGCTTGGAAATACTAAATACAGAACAGTTATTTCCTCACTGCTCTTTGCAAATGCTGACTTCATTTTACCCTTCTAATCCCTGTGAGGCATCTATCATTGGGGCAATGAATAGTTCACTGCTTGTTTACCAGGAATTCCTGCAGTGCCATTTGGGGAGCGTTAGTCCTGAGCACAGAGATAAATCGTCATCCCATTTGAAATACAGCAAGCTCAGAGGAGAACCAATCCCCAGAATCTTCCTGCCTCCTTTCACAGGGCTGCCTGTTCTCAGTTCAGGCCACTGTGCAGAAATACCCTGCCCTGGAACCAAGATCTGCACACATCTTCATCCCAGCACCTCACTTAGGGATGCTGCCCAGTCCCACGGTAGCTTGCCTGCAGCACCCAGCCTGTCTTACCCTCAGCAGTGTCCTTTGGGTCCCTGAGATGAGGCCCAAGGCCACCACTGCTGCTGCCCAGGGATCCCAGCGATGCTTTTGTGGACAGTGGTTGTAGGGGCTGGTGCTGCACCACTGGTCAGGCTCTGCACTTGTGCCTCTATCTTTGGCAGAACCCCCAGACCCACACCAGTGGCCAGTGGCTTTTGTGGTTCTTGTCAAAGTTAAGCCCAGTGGAGGATGAATCATGTAAAGAACATCCCTGCAAGTATCCTCTCCAGAGCCAAAGCTGAGGCCATGCTGCCCAGCACCAGTGAGAAAAAGCGGGCTTTGTTTAAACACGAGGGTCAGCGTCTCAGCTGGTCTAAATCAGTTAAGCTCCATGAAGTCAAACATAGATGTCCTGATTTGCAGGGACTGTAGATCTGGCCCATCAGTTTTAACCAAATGTGTCCTCTTTAAATCACAGCAAACAAATTTGTGATGCCTGAGGGGAAAAAGAAAGAGACTTGCGCCTTGGGAACATCCCATAAAACATCATTTCCCCTCTCCCTTGTCTGCCTGCCTGCTCCCACACACTGTGACAAAGCTGGGATGTTTCCTGGAGGGATGAGGGGTCAGGGTGGCCAGGGCTAATTAAGCTCTGCAATAATACTTGGAGATAAAGTGAAACTTAGAGCAGTTTGTTGTGTGTAGCAGCTTCTGGGCCTTGTGCCCAAGGGAGGGTGAGGATACAACCTCCCTGCAGCCACCAATGCAGTTCTGTGGACAGAGAAGCAGATGCTTAGGGGACTTTGTGCTAGAGGAGGTGAGGTCCCAGGGCAGCCAGGCTGGGGGTTATCATCCTCCACCCCTTCCTGGGTGGAGGGATGTTGTCCATCATTCCTAGGGCATGGGAACTTGGAGCTGTTTTTCTTTCAGATGCAGCAGAGAACACCCATGCGTGTATGTAGGGAGGGAGCACAGGGACCATGTAAGGGATATGCACCCAAGGTGCTGCAGGGTGCACAGCCTGGCCGGAGCTGTGATGTTGCTCCAAGAAGAGCAAGACTGCAGAAACACATGAGCTACTTCGCTTACAATAGGCTACCAGTGTCCAGCCCTCCTTCACCAGCACTTAACAGACAGAGGAGAAAATAGAGGAAAGGAAGGATCAAGTCTCCTCTTACACCAGGTATCATTATCTTGCTGTGGCTTGTGACTGATTTTGAGCCACATGTGACTGTCAGCTCCATGCCCAGTCCCAGGAGTTTTCCTTCCTTCCATCCTTAGCCAGCCGAGCTGGAAATAGGACTGGTGGGGACCACGTGCAGCAGCACATGCCCTCACACAGCTTCTAAAGCAGCACCTTCATTTCCAGCAGTTCCAGAGGGTGAAAGGTGCTGTAGGAACCTCCTTGCTTTGGCTTTGGTGCATCTGGGTGTTGGCATCTGAATGTGGTGCCGACCCACCTCACTCCAAACTTTCACCAGCGCAACTGCCCAGGCACCAATACTACCAGTCCTGATGTAAGCCCACTAAAGAGCCAGTGCTGGCACTCTGATCCCATTTTTATTTAATGCTTCAGGGGGAGCATTTAAGGCCTGGAATGAAGAGGGGCTGGATTTCTTTAACATATGCTCATTCTTGGGCAGTGGAAATACCATGACAAGAATAATTCTTGGATCGTCTCAGTTCCGGTGTGAGCCTCCCAAGGCATTAGGAAAAAGGAAGTGCTGATAACTATAAATACAGACATGAAGAGGAATGTAGAGATAGCTACGCTTATTTGGGTTTACATGGAAACTAGTCTTTCCTGTAGAAATACAACACCCAACAATAATTATCAGCAGACATCTTGCATCATTCCTTCACTGTACGGTGCTGCAAATTTTCACTGGGTCTGTGCTCGACAGAGACTGGGCTGGATGGAGAGACCTTCCTTACTTCCTTACCATCCACATCCAACCCAGCCACTTCTCCCATCCTGAAGTCCCACACCTGGGCTTTCCCTTAACCAGAGCAATCAACCACAGTTGATGCTGCTGCACCACTCCTGCTAAAACCACACTGCCTGTGCAGAGCTGTACGAGAGCTCAATGTCCAGGTTTTGTAGCTGGTGTCCATGGATGTCATATCATTTATCCATCTCTGTCAACCCTGGCCTTTGACAGAAGCTGCTCTCCAGCACAACTTACTGCTGCTGGAAGCTCATCAGTGATGTGCAAGAGCAGCAAGTCTGAGGCAGAGGCAAACCTGAGCTCATCTTATCTCAGAGGCGGCTGGTCCTCTCCAGCCCGTATCTTCTTGTGTTGCTTGGAACAGTAATGAAAAGTTGGTAAACACCAGCTGTTGTGCTAAGCAGAGGTGGGTGAAGTATGTAAACTGGGCAATTTAGATTAAAAATCATTTATTTTCACAGCAACCTGGGGTTTTGTACGGTGATAATTGGGATCATAAATATGTATGCCAGAAGGCATATCAGAGGCTGATGCTGGGAGGCTGAGCAACAGCCAAGAGTCACTGACTGTGTCTGCATGTGCTTACATAAAATTTCCCTTCCCTGCACTATAGTAAAGTGGACAGCAGGGCAATGCAGCCTATCTGTGTGTGCTGAGATGGGGGGCTATGTCTGCACTGCTGGTGTCCCTGCCCTGAGAGCTTATTGTGTCCCTGGAGAGGGGGGAAGCATCAAGCATGGGTCATCCCTGGAGCTATCACCTCTGCTCAGTGTCCACAGGGCACCCAGATATCCCCAGGTTTTACCAGCAGTGATCTCGAGTCACTTTCTGCTCTGGTGGGCACTTTGCATTCAGCAGGCTATTCAGCACGATTGATGGGAGAACAACTGGTGGATGCTGTGCTGGGCTTTGCCAGGGAAAACATCTCTCTGGGACCAGAGAGGGCAAAGAGAGTGAACTGGTAAACATGGTGAGGAAAACATTATCCCTTCCAAGTGTACAGCTGGTAGAAACCATGTGTGCCTGTGACAGGGACACATGGAAGGGCAACTGGCTCTCCTGGGTACAAGTTAACGGGCAAAAAGCTCCGTGTTCCTGTCTTGTTGCAGCTCTGCAGACAAACACGATGGAGCCAGGGTGCACTAAGCGTCCCAGCTAAGCTGCTTATAGCTCCCTAGCTCCTGCATGCTGTCCCAACAGAGGGGAAAGAGAGACAGGAAACCTGGCAGCAAGAGGCTCCTCTTGCCGCAGCACTGGAGACAAGCG